AGCGCAGGAACTCGTGCAGACAGTTGGCCCTGGCTCGAGCAGTCTGGTTTCAACTGATAAATGTCCTGGGGGTTATATTTAAGCGCAGCATCTTGACGGCCCTGTTGGAGATTTTTCTCCAGTACTGAGCAGACAGGGAACTTTAGACATCAACTTCTTGATAAACCTTTAACTTTAGACATCATGGACACCTCCATTTTGACCATCAAATCAGACGCAGCAGGGGCCGCAGGCGGTGCAGTGTGCTGAGGCTCCTGCAGGACGCGTTACGCTGTTTCCACCAGCTGCATCGGGTACCCGGGGAGCAAACGGGGAAGCTCGGCACTACCGGAGGGCTGCCTGGATCTTCTCCATTAGTGGGAATTACGCCTCTGACTTGCTCCGATTCTCCCTCTGGGCTCTTTTTTTCCTTTTCAGGAAAAGGAAAGCTTTTCCTACTGACTTGGAAGCGAGCATCCTTCTTGAGCGCAAGAGCGATGCTGCCTCCTTTAGCGGGGCGGGAAGCCCAGCTCTCGCTCTACGAGCCACTCGGGTGGGGGACAAAACCCTAAAAGCGGACCAAGCTCTGTGCTGTTCACCTCCCGCTCCCCCTCCTCAGGACCACCTGGGGGCTGTGGGGTCTGTCCCCGAGTCTTGCCCAGCATTTCCCAGCTCGCCGCGGCGAGACAGGGCTTCCAGAGCACTCGGCTTTGCTCTGCGGTTGGGACTGTTGCTGATCTCTAATCTCCTCTGTGCCTCAGCTGCTCTGTTGGAACATTAAAGGCGAGCCGCAAAGCAACCATAATTGCGCTAAGTGTCTGCGGGATAATGGACTAAATACTCCGGATTGGAGCAGCAGCCGCATTCCCAGCTATTTAATACCTTGATTGATGTATATTTAGATGTTTGCCAGCCCGCAGGAGGACAGCCTTCTCGGTTCTTGTTCCTCCCGCTGTTCGAAGCCGGTGACACAACGATGTTAAAGAACAAGGCGGGAGTGCGCTATTCGGCCAGCGTGAGGTCGCAGGGCTGTCAGGATCCCCAGTTCGCTAGGACTGGGTGTTGTGGTCCTCCTCCCTGAGCTTGCTGAGCCAGGAGAGGGAGATCGGTGGTGGTTTCGGGCTCTGTTTGGAAGAGTGTTTTCTTCTGTCACCACAGGCTTTGGCTTCTTGCAGCACTGAGAAGACAAGTTCTTTTTGCCCAGGGGTGACCTGAGGAAAGGTCTGTGTGCTTGAAACCTTGTCTGCATTTTCCAGTTAGATCACAGAATCATAGAATGGTTTGGGTTGGAAGGGACCTTAAAGATCATCCAGTGCCACCCCCCTGCCCTGGGCAGGGACACCTCCCACCAGCCCAGGTTGCTCCAAGCCCCGTCCAACCTGGCCTTGAACACCTCCAGGGATGGGGCAGCCACAGCTTCTCGGGGCAACCTGCGCCAGGGGCTCACCACCCGCACAGGCAACAATTTCTTCCTCATATCTAACCTAAATCTCCCCTCTTCCAGTTTGAAGCCATTCCCCCTCGTCCTATCACTCCATGCCCTTGTAAAAAGTCCCTCCCCAGCTCTCCTGGAACACCTTTGGGGCGCGGGGTGGCTACAGCTGATCTAATAAAAGATGTTCTCTCTCCCTGTCAACATTGCTGTCTCTCCACGTTAAACCCCAGACCTGGTCATGTTGAGATGCTCGGGCCATCTAATTTGAGGCACCTGCCTTGTGTGGCTGAGATGAGTGTCCCTGTCTACTCAGGGGGGAGAGTAAGAGTTCTGTTCTGCATCACCCTCAGGAAGTGACTGTTTCTCTCCATGCCTGACTAAGGAGACCGATGTCTATCTTGGGTGCCCTACAGCTATGAGGTCTACATGCTTCCATCAACTCTCCAGAAAGAGCTCGCGCAGAAGGGCTGTGTAGAAACGCTTCTGCCCGAGGTGCAGTTGCCTTTGGGGCCCGGCTGTACGTGGAGAGCAGGGCAGTGTCCCCCCAAGGAGCTCCCAAGGCAGAGCGAGAAGGTGCACAAGTGCCGGGTGACGACCCCCGCTTTGGAGGGCAGAGGAACCGAGTCAGCGCCAAAATGAAGGGACCGCTTTTTAAGCTGAAATTAGGAAACCCCAAAAGGCAAGCAGGGGCGCAAAGATGCTTCTGAGTATCTTGGCGGTTGCTCCCGAAGGAACGTGGCCGTCCTGTCCCCGACAGGAGCAGAGCCCGGATCCCTGAGCTGGTGCTCTCCCCTCCCAGCGCTGGAGGCCATGACTGCCGTTTCGGCGGAGTGGCTCGGCATGGAAGGCAGAGCAGAAATATCTCCTGCCGCTTTGCACGGAGGAGGAAGATTTCCTCGGAAGCGCTGTTCGGACGCAGCAGCTCCATGGAACGTAACTTTGCCCATCAGCCATTCTTTCTTCTTTCTCTTTCTTTAGCTTTGGCTGCCCATAAGCTGACAGACAGATGTCGTCACGTACCATGTGCGTGGTGGTTACCCTCCCCGGTCCCCTTCTAAACACTCAATTCACAGCTGCCGGCTTTGTACCGATAAGAGAACGAGATGACTTCCTTTTCTTCTCTCCACCCCCACTCCCTTCCAGAATAAGCTGGGCTGTTTTTTGGTAAATAACCAGCTGTCACTTCTGCGCTTGAAACTTTCCAGGCTCCACCACCTTGGCCAACCCTCCTGAAGGATGCTGGAGGCTGGAACGTTCCTATCGGGCAGCAAACTGCCTTCCGCATCCTAGAGCGAGCTCTCCCCACCTCCCGTATCCTACGAATCTCACTGCCTTTCGAGCTGCCCTGTGGTTTCTGTGGACTAACGAATCTCTCTGCGTACTCTGCCGGGTCAGGAGCCTTGACCAGTTATGGTGAGGTAGGAGATCTGCTCTCTGTGTGTGTCTAGCGTCTATTTTTAACAAAGCTGGTGTTTCTGAGCGGGGGAAAAACGCAAAGGGGAGAAGGCACGGAGGTCATCTCTGTAGTTCAGATTGCACAGAAAGGTTCCACTTGTGCTACGGGAGGATGTGAGCTACTAACAGTCAGACAGCACCCACGAAGGTGTGGGCGCTATTAGGGTGGGAATAGTGATTAACAGGGCTCGTTAGCCACAGACTAGCAAATTCGCTGCACAAGTGCAAGATTCTCCAGTGGAAACTACCTTTCAGATGCCTCTGCAGCACATGGGTGATGGTAACTTTCTCCTTGTGCTGGCTTCAGCACTGGGAAACGGTGCGTTAGCAGTTTCGTTCATATGATTAGTATGATTACTGTTAATATGATTACCAAAGAGGGTTTTGGTGCTGACTGCAGCCTGGCAGAGGCTATCCCTGCTGCGAGCAGTATCTTATTTTGTGGTGTTATTAGATTTTTATCTCGTATTACCTTGTTAGCAATGCTATGTTAATAGCTACTCGCTTATCTCTTCATTTGCCTCGCCATCTCTCTAGCTGAGCACACTTTCAGGCGCTGATAAACCGGTTTGCCTGTGTTGGAGCATTGTAATTTCAGGGTGCTGGGTACCTCTGGCTGAACTTTGTGGGTCCTTACAAACTGCATGAAATGACAACATGTAGTCAGAAGGGCAGTTTGTGACGTAGCCAAGGTTATACGGGGCATGAGCTATACAAGCAGCTTGTATGAGAAAGGGTTTGGTGGAGTATCATAGAATGGTTTGGGTTGGAAGGGGCCTTGAAGACCATCCAGTGCCACCCCCCTGCCCCGGGCAGGGACACCTCCCACCAGCCCAGGTTGCTCCGAGCCCCGTCCAACCTGGCCTTGAACACCTCCAGGGATGGGGCAGCCACAGCTTCTCGGGGCAACCTGCCCCAGGGGCTCACCACCCTCACACTCAACAATTTCTTCCTAATATCTAATCTAAATCTCCCCTCTTCCAGTTTAAAGCCATTCCCCCTCATCCTATCACTCCATGCTCTTGTAAAAAGTCCTTCCCCAGCTCTCCTGGAGCCCCTTTAGGGACTGGAAGGCCGCAATAAGGTCTCACCAGAGCCTTCTCTTCTCCAGGCAAGGGGAGTAGGGGATGGAGCATGATCTGGTGCCTTTGCCCGTCCGGGAGGCACGGCAGGGGAGTGCGTGTGTGCAGAGAGCAAATCCCGCCTGCTGGGAACGCGGGGAACGCATCCAGGGCAGGAACAGGGCTGTGTCTGAAGCCGTGTTTGAGGTTGTTAGATGCAATGGGTTCGTTGTGCAAGTGGCTATGGCTCTCGGCCATGGAGTGGAACACGGAGCATGCCATGGGCTTTCCTTCCTTCCTTCCTTCCTGTCTTTCCTTCCTTCCTTCCACGGGCGTGCGGAGGGTGTGGGCTGGTCCGCAGCGCTCCGCAGGGGTTCAGACTATGGAAGTTGGCCACAGCCTGCTGGTGGGTTGCATTCCCTCGTATCTCAAGAGCATCCCGAGGCTTTTGCACCAACCTCATTTCAATGCTGTTCTCTCACGCGTTGCAGAAGCCACTGGTTTCTCAGTTTCTGGTCTTTTTTTTTTTTTTTTTTTTTTTCTTGGGTGCGTTCTGCTTCACTGGATCATAGCAAAGCAGCTAAACAAATACTTTTCTGCTCCGGGAGGAAGGCTGTCAGTCAGACAGCAGCTGGGCCAGTTTCGGGGCTGGCTGGCGAGATGTATTTTTAATGCCCCAACTGCCTGGCAGGTGGGCACGCAATTTAATTTTAACTTGCTTTATGAGAACAAAAACATCTTTAATATACAGGCCAGTAAACTTCCATGAATGGAGGGAGTTCAAAAGACCTTTCTCCCACTATTAGACCTTCTGAGAGTAGTAGCTAAGGCTTTCTCTGGCTGAGGTTAAAGCGTAGCTCGGTGTTTATGGTGGTCCTAACAGTGGAATATCCTTCGAGGAGAAAAGGCCGATTCAAATATAAGTTCGAGTCAGAGCATTAATTCAGAAAATCTGAAAACTGCGGCTGAAAATAATAACCTCGCACAGCTTTGGGGCTGATGAGTTCAAAACAGCTCGAGGGCCTTAGCTACACCTTTTTTTTTTTTTTTTTTTTTTAAATTAAGAGAACATGGGTGTAAATCCTCTGGGCAACTTGGAAGAGCCCCAGCTGCCGGTTTCCCGCGGGTGCAGGTGAGTGTAACTGGGTGTTGAAATGCACGTTGGCCTGATCCAGCAAGGTCTGCCTCTCCTGTTCGCTGGAAACTGAGAACAAAAGCCAAATTTGTGCCTTTTTCTCAGCAGTTTCGGTCTTGCGCTGTGCTTCCCGTCCTCAGCCTCAGTCGTAGCATGTCCTACAACTTCTTGCTCGCCACCGGGCTCACCGAGCTCTGGCTGTGAACGCTGGAGGGGGGTCCCAAAGCTCTGCAGACTCTTGGGGATGGTTCACAGCCCCCTGGGCAGGGTACGGACCTCAGGACCGCCGGCAGGGGTACGGTTGGAAGCAGAGTGCAGTTGAGGAACCAGCACACTGAATGTTAACGTTATTTCTGGAGCGAGCAAATAATTCGGAATCCGAATGGGGAAGTTAACGCAGTGCGTATCCTGTAAGGGATTTTTACTCTTGCTTTGAGAACAAACCCACCAGCCCAGGTTGCTCCAAGCCCCGTCCAACCTGGCCTTGAACACCTCCAGGGATGGGGCAGCCACAGCTTCTCGGGGTAACCTGCGCCAGGGGCTCACCACTCTCACAGTCAAGAAGTTCTTCCTAATATCTAAACTAAATGTTTTTCATCTGTCGTGGCTCATATGCCAACGTTTCTACAGTCTTTTTCCTGATGTGACTCTGTCCTCAGAGTGCTCTGCCATGGGTCTGTTACACATGGAAATCGGTGAGCATCCCCAGGTGGGGTAGGTAACTGTGTGATGCTCTAAAGGAGGAACTCTTGCATCCAAGCAAGAGCATGTAATATCTTATTTTGGAAGTGAAAATGTAACTTTGCACTTGTGGTGGGAGGCCAAGCTCTCTAACAACTCCTCCTTCCTTCCTGCCTTCCGTTCTTAGTTTGAAGCATCTCTTCCTGTGGTGGGAGAGGACCAGCTGGAGCCCGGGGTTTGCCGGTGTCCTTCCGTGGCTATAATTAGGCAAGCTGCATGTGATAGCCACGAGGCAATGTGGGCGCAGGAATACCTAAGCTTAAAGGTAAACAGGCACAGTCCAATTTGCATCGATCCGCAGCGGAGTGGAATGATCAGTTGGACTTTGATGACTGGTAGATGTCCCCTGTTACCACCACTGTGTCCTAATGCTCCCTCTGCACCCTTTGGATAGAGTTGGCCAAATAGAACCCCGGAGCTGCTGCTTCTGCAGTCGGCCTGAATGAAGGCGAGCACGCTGGGCGTTAGGATGTTGTTGCGGGAACTCTTTTTTTAGCGAGGGGAAGAGCTTGAGCTAGACATGTGCATGAGTTTCCACAAGATGTTGCTCGACCAGAGCTGCTAGACCAAGTGTTCGCGAAACGATGGACCGTGAGCGATGGCAGACCTTCAAAAGGACACCGGCGTGATCTTGGACGTCTGCACAAGCTCCTCGTCTACCGCAGCCTCCCGGAGGGCCACAGGAGCTGCTCGCTGAGGCGAGGAGGAGACAGCATGGCAGCAGGCAGGTGCCAGTCTCGTTCACATCCTTTACGTGAGCCCGCGTGGGTAACGCAGCTCGGCTTGGCCCTGCCGGTCACACGCGCGTGCCCCACTGCCTTTCTGCTCGCTCCGGTGCTGCGGAGCACGCCATCCGTTGTGTTTGCAAGATGACGGGCTTTTTTGGGGGGTTTTGTCAGTTTGGGTTTTTTTTTTTTTTGTGCCTTGGATCTTAATTTTGCCCACGGCTTCCTTTCCTGCGGGACCTTTATCTGGGGAGCGCAAGACGGGATGGCAAAAGGGGTTTTTCCGTATCGGCGGTGCGGGGGGGGCTGCGGGGAAGTCCCTACGATAGGCAGAGCCTGCCAACGCTCTGGATTAACGGGTCTGCAGGCGGTGGGGAGGGGGGAATAGGCTCTCTGCGGCCACTTCAGCTCGGATATGGCCTGGACTAACCTCAGCTGCTGGAAGGATCACTGGGACAAGCAGCTGTGGAACCAGCATCTCCCATGAGCGGTGTCCTGCATGTCAGACCCGCTGGTCTTCCTCCCGCTTTCCTGAAGCCAGGGTGAGCTCTGTGTCTAAAATTAGGGCTGAAGGATGCAGAAATGCTGGTGCAACAGATGTGGGGCTAAATGAGGGGCAGAAACGGCGTGCCAAAGGCCAGTGCTGAGCTGTCGGCAGGGGATCATCCCCGCTTTCCCGCGAGCAGCGGAACGTGGATGCAGAAGAGATGCGCTGACAGTCCCGCATCCCGGTCCACGGCTGTGGTGTGCTGGTCGGGACAAAGAGCCTCTGCGGAGGTGGGACAGTCCGTAGGAGGGCACGCAGGAGAAGTGCTTTGTGTCACAGTGTCACAGCCTCCCGCCTGGCAAGGGCGTGTTTGGATTAAAAAGAAAAATATGAATATGACCGTCTTTTATATCTTTTTTTTTTTTTTTTTAATTCCCCCCCATAGCAAGGCTGGGTATCTAGTAAGAAGGGTAAGAACGTGACCCTTTATCTGTAAAGTTCACCCAGGCTTCCTTAACACAGTGAAAATTGTGTGCAGAGCACTGCGAAAAGCAGTATTCCCCGCAAAGGGAAGGTCTGCAGCTGCAGTTTCTTTATACTCTTCTGGCTTTGCTTCTGGAAATGGCTATTTTTGAGCTGATGACCTGATTAATAGTCTTCCACAGAGAGATCACAGGTTTCCGCAGAGAGATAACAGGTGACCATGTGATTGCGTTTTGACTCTTCACATCTTAGCATCGTGGTTTCGGCTGGGATGGAGTTGACTTTCGTGCTAGCAGCTGGTGGGTGCTGTGTTTTGGATTTAGGATGGGAGTGTTGTTCATGACACACCGACGTTTTTGGTTGCTGCTAAGCAGTCAAGGCCTTTTCTGCTGCTCACACCACCCTGCCAGTGAGTAGGCTGGGAGTGCACAAAAAATTAGGAGGAGACACAGCTGGGACAGTTGACTCCAGCCGACCAAAGGAATATTTCATGCCATGAGACATTATACTTGGTATATAAAGTTGGGGGAAGAAGAAGGAAGGGGGCGATATTCTGAGTTATGGCGTTTTGTCTTCCCAAGTAACCATTGCACATGATGGAGCCCTGCTTTCCTGGAGATGAACACCCACCTGCCCATGGGGAGCAGGGAATGAACTCCTTGTGTTGCTTTGCTGCCGTGCACAGCTTTTGCTCTACATATTGAACTGTCTTTACCTCAACCCACCCGTTTTTCCTCACTTTTCCTTTTCTGATCCTCTCCCGCATCTCGCCGCAGGGCGAGGGAGCGAGTGGCTGCGTGGTGCCGGTTGCCGGCTGGGGTTAAACCACGACACAGAGATCAGAGAAGTCAACTTCACTCAGAGTTTTCTTTCCCCCCCTCCGTGCTCACGCTCCGGCCTGCGTAGAGCGGAGCGGCGTTCACAGAGCGGGCAGTCAGGGATGGCGACCGGGCTGAGGGAGCCGTGGTGGAGCACAAAGGTCCCTGTTGGACTGGGTCAGCCTGCCAGCTTCGAGTCCTTTTTGGGTTCTTTCAACTGTCTTGGGTGGTGTGGCTGCTACACCGCCACGGTTCGGTGTCCAGTTATGGGCTTTGGGGATGAAGGAGGGGTGTACTGTAGCTGCGTGCTTTGGTTCGTGTTAGTGAGGTAGGAGAAGAGAGCGGGGTCTGTTGGTGAAGTGGAAAGAGCATCAGTCAAAATGCTCATTTGAAGTTTGACGTGAAAGCAGGGAAGCAGAGCGAACCCTCGCAGGCTTTGCAAAGCGGAGGGTCTGGGACCACAGGGAGACGCCGGGCCCTCTGGGTGATGTGTTTGCCTGTGCGTCCATCTCAGAGCCGGGAAGCGATGCGCGGCCTTAACCGGTTCCTATTTATGCGACAGGAGTTTTTCGTGGTGTTTGTCCTTGGAGTGATTTCTCTCTGTTCTGACGTCAGCCAGATTTAACGAGCTCTCCCGCTTCTTAGGCGAAATCATCGCTTTAGACGCCTAACCCGCTCGAAACCCTTTGCTAAGAGACTGGGACGGACCACGAACGTGTCGCTGCTTTTGGGAGGTGGGGGAGATGGGGTGGATGGCTCGGAGGGTGAGTGAATGGGACAGCGCGTGAAAAGAGGCAGAGGTGCCAATGGCAAGCACGGGCTAGAATAATTTAGATAAAGGGACTGAATCATAGGGAGTAGAGGAGTGCGGAATCTTGCGTGTGTCAGGGAGATAGGGCAGACGTGAATTTATATTAATTAACAATTAATGCCAGCTGAGGCTCCAGAGCCGGTAAATGGAAACTGTCTGCACCAGCTCCCTGTCAGGAGGGTGCTGCCTGCTCCGATTTTTGTGAGACCTGCAGGAAAGAGCTCCCGGAGCGCTTTTACTGCCGTCTCTGGGTTTTGTCTGTGTATTCTGCTCTTCCTGTCTCAGCAAAAGCCACCCCCTCCCCCAGGATGGCAGCCGTGGTCTGTCCGGCCACCGTCCTCCAGGTCTCCAGGGACAGGACCGAAACTGGAATTACATGTCAAAGTCATAACGCTGATCGTACGTGTGTAGTCAGAGGCCACTGCTAATCTCGAGCTAAAACCAGTTTCTTTGACGGAAACCGCTCTGCCCAGTGCGCTGTCTTGCAAGTGACATTTATGGAGAAGCTCCTCTGGGAGGGGACAGAGCCGGCACAGCTCACCCCCACTGCCCGCAGGGATGTCCCATGCCATATGGCGTCACGGTCGGTGTGCAGAGCTGGGGAAGAAGAAGGAAGGGGGGATGTTGGGAGTGATGGCGTTTGTCTTCCCAAGTCTCCGTTACCCGCTGTCCTGGGGATGGCTGAACACCCACCTGCCCATGGGGAGCAGGGAATGAACTCCTTGTGTTGCTTTGCTGCCGTGCACAGCTTTTGCTCTACATATTGAACTGTCTTTACCTCAACCCACCCGTTTTTCCTCACTTTTCCTTTTCTGATCCTCTCCCGCATCTCGCCGCAGGGCGAGGGAGCGAGTGGCTGCGTGGTGCCGGTTGCCGGCTGGGGTTAAACCACGACACAGAGATCAGAGAAGTCAACTTCACTCAGAGTTTTC